AGGAAGGACCGATAACAGAAATGTCTTGCATTTCACAACTTCCTGAGCCAGTGGCCTGACTTTCTCATGCTCCCCTTCCCCAAACCAAGACTTCCAAAACTGTAATTTCTGCTTTGCCAACTCAGAGCTGAGTGGCCCACCATCTAAATGACAGCATTCTCTCAGGCCTTAAAGAGAGGGAGGAGGGCGCATGCCTCCGTGTGCACCTGGGTGCATATGAAAGTGCCCCTGTGTATGTTCGGATCTGACGCTGAGGAAGTGAGCAGGCTGTGCAGTGCCCACCCCGAGAACTGCCCTGGTCTCTGCTTTTCCTTCCCGCTTCCCACCCACGCACAGTGGAGACTGCTGTGGGCTGTGGCTGCTGTGGGCTGTGGCTGCTCTGGGCTGTTCTGTGCTCTGGGGAATGACACTCCTTTTTTGTACTGGACCCTAGAAAGCAGTGCTCACTGTCTTGTGCCAGGTATTTCTCTGGGGCCTCAACAGAAGCTGAGGAGCAAGGCAAGTGTTTGGAGAATGGAGCCTCATCTCACTTGGTGAGGCTGGTGCCCTGAGGAGAGGGGATGCTGGACATCGAGAAGCCTAACTTATGGTCCTAACTCTTCTACTTCTTCCTATGTGACCTTGAACAAGGCAATTCTTCTCTCTCTTCTCTAGTTTCTCCTCCATTTTTCTACTTATCTATGATTTTCTTTTCCTTTTCCATAGCTGAGGATCAAATCTAGGCTATTATAAAGTGATCTGCCACAACTAAATTACATGCCTAACCCTGTATTATTTTTCTGAGACTTCCTCTTGATATGAGTTCACCTTGACCTTGAACTTGAGATTCCCCCCTGCCTCATCTCAGAAGTGCTAGGATTATAATTCTATCTATAGTTACTCATTGTTTTCAACAAAAACAAATTGAATGCATGCGGGCCCAGGCACCTGTGTATGTGTATATACTAGAAACAGGAGAACACCACCCATGAAAGGCTAAAGAAACACCCATGCCAGTGGTGGCACATGTCTTTAATCCCAGCACTCAGGAGGCAGAGGCAGGTGGATCTCTGTGAGTTCAAGACCAGCTTGGTTCTACAGAGAGAGTTCTTCGACAGCCAAGGCTATACAGAGAAACCCTGTCTGTCTTGAAAAGCCAGAAAGAAAAAAGAAAAAGAAGCACACATGTAAGCTGGAGAGATGGCTCAGCGGTTAAGCGCACTGGCTGCTCTTCCTGAGGACTGGGGTTCAATTTTCAGCACCCATATCAGGCATATTACAGAAAATCTGACACTTTCTTCTGGTCTCCCTAGATGCTGGTACCGAGAAGCACTTATCCACGTATATCTACATGTTATTAAAAATAATTTAAAAAAAAAAGAAAAGAAACATCTACATATAGGGCCTGAGAGGTGGCTGGGCAGGTAAGAGCACTTACCACTTCCTTTTGATGACTTTGCGTTGTATCACTGGATCCTATGATGGATGAGCTCTCAGAAGTTTCCTGTATGCCACACACACACACACACACACACACGACATATGTGCCCACACTACTATCTCACACACATGATAATGGTGACGGCAATGGTGGTGATGTCATCTAGTAAGTCTTGGTACTGCCTTCTAACAAAAACTACCTCATTTCTTCACCATTGGTCTCTGGACTCACCTGCTTTGACTAACACTGTATAAGTGACCCTTGACTTTCTAGAAGCCCTAGCTAGCCTGCTGGAGAAGGCACGGAGAATGCACATGGTGATGTCCCAAGGGGTAGCCTCAACCAGCGACCACTTGAATGATTGGGGCCACAGTCGCACAGCTGAGCCGACAGACCGAAAACTGGAGTGAGTTCAGCCTAAATTGCTTAGAGCAGAGACGAGTCACTCTGGCTGTCACCCACAGAACTGTGAAATATTACGTCATTACAGTTTGTTTTATGTGTGTGGGTAAAGGAACGTGCAGGCAGGGCAAGCATGTAGAGGTCAGACATTAGCCTCAGGTGTGGGTCCTCGGGAACAAGGGCTTTCACAGGCCTGGAACTTTGCCAGGTCCGTCAGGCTAGCCCGTGAGCTTCCAGGCTCTGCCTGCCTGTGTCCCACCTCGTATTGCTGGGTTTACAGGTGTGCACCCTACACCTGGCTTTTTATGTGGACTCTAGGAACCAGAACTCAGATCCCTGCCCCTGCCAGGCAAGCTTTATGGGCTGAGTCATATCCCCAACCCTAGTTACAAATGAGAGTTTTTGTTTGTTTGCTTGTTTCTTGTTTCGATTTCAGCTGCTACCTTTTGGGGGATGGCTTTCTCTAATATCTATTAACTATTTCCTATGTGCCAAGGACAATGTTACGTGTTCTGTACAGTCTTATTTGTTCCTTGTGCCAACCATGTGATGTGGTCATTAATTCTAATCTCTGCTTTTTAGAGCCAAGGAAAAGGAGACACATGACTAAGGTCAAGGGACACGTGAGTAAGGGAACCAGAGAGCAGGCTGTGCAAGCTTCAAGTCCACAGTTAATTCTCTACTATCTGGCACAGAACCTAAAAGATCCTGTTCTGGCCTTCATTTAGTTTATGGTTTGTACAGGGGACTAGTAATAAAGAAACAGAAATAAATACCAGAAGGTACAGCGTCCTGGGGTACACAGTTTTTGGTGAGATGACGGGTCAGAAGGGTGGCGCAGTGAGCTGAGAACTGTTCTACAAGGTCTAAGGTCATGGTCAGGTCAAGCTTCAGTCAACAGAAACGTTACCTAGCCATTGGGCTGGACTTCGTTGGTCCGAGGCTTGGGTGGTCCAGATTCTGCCACTAATACCCTGGAGACTGCGCTGGAGGCCTGACGGCCCTTGTCCCTTGCTCAGCCACTGTCCCTAGTCTGAATGACTTGACTCTAAAAGCCTCTTTCCCATGGAGTTCCCTGCCAGAGAACATTCCCTGCAGCCCCTCATGGCCCCCCATGGCCCCTTAGTTTTTGTTTATTTTAAAATAGAGTATAGGTCCGCAGCCTCGGAGTAAGGCTACTGTGAACACTTCACAACAATAATAATTCATTTTCTTTCAGTCGTAGGAAGAGAATGACTATCTCGTGGAGGCTCCTGGCCTGCTTCAAGGCCCTCTGAGAGAGTCCTGCCATTTTATTCTCTTTCCAACACCCTTGCTCAGGAACCTGGGGGTGCGGGTGCACTGTGCTCGCTCTCAGTGAGTCAGCATTGCTGACTTAGCTCTTGCTGTATGGCTGGCCTGTAAGCACAGGTAACCATTTCCTATCTGGCTTCCCTGCTCTACTTCCAAATATGGCTGGAAGCCTGTGGGAGGGAGACTCTCGCTGAGCACAGCTTGATTTAGACCTGAAAGAACCAAAGAATTTATGGTTGGCTGGTGGCCTAGTAGCCTCCAGTCTGAAAACAGTTTACTGGATAAAGGAAGAGAGGGAGGACTGGGTTCTCCACAGCAGCAGCAGTGAGTTTGGAGCAGGGCTGTAAACAGTATGGGCTGTGTCACCCTGTCGGAACTCAGAGTTCAGGTGGGGGTCTATGGACAGTAGGCATTCTCCAATTTTCATTTCTCTTCTTTGGGGCAGAGAGAACTGAAGCTGATGCCAGGGAGGAATATGAGGTCCAGAGAGGTCCTTTTTGGCACCTCACGGATAAACCCCAGCAGCTATAGTCTGAGGCTCTGGCTCTTTCAGAAGACGCTAGGAACTGAAACGTCTACCTCCCCAGCACATCCGGGGACACTGACTGAGTTGGCTGTGGGAACAGCCTAGACTGTGCATAATACGGGCCCACGGAACACGCAGGCCCAGGGAAGAGCTGAACAGTGCTGCAGGAATGAGGGAATGCTGGGGGCCCTGAATCACCCTTCAAGATCCTGCTGAGAAAGGGAAAGGGAGCGGGAAGATAAGGGAGGTCAAGGTACACAAGAGGCTTCTTAGCTCAATGATTAATTATCCTGGGCCAGGGGTCAGTCAAAAAAAAAAATCAATCAATAAACAAACAGTGACTTGGTCAGAGGTCTTTCCTCTTTCAGGCCACCCTTCCAACTGGCACAAGAAGGGTTTCTGAAAATTAAGCCAGGGTGGAAGCCTTTCTTGGCTGAGCTTGGTGTGGGCGCCATCTTTCCAGAGACCCAGAAGTATATGGAGCTCAGAGTCATTTTGCATGGGGGATAGGGAGAGTGCTGGTATTGCTTTTGGGCCTTGCTGTCTTGACTGCCTTTCTCATCTCTGTCCTCTTCTCCCCTAGGTCGAACATGGACAAGCTTTCTGTATAGTACTCGTAGCTCTTGCCACACAAAGATGCTTGTGGGCTAGTCCTGAAAGGCCTTGGGTGTCTATTTACAAGTTAATTTGCATGTGGGTGGATGGGCCTCTGAGGAGGAAGTTTGGTGAAAGGCTGGGATGGCGTGGGCGGGAAGGGAGGGTTCCAAAGCTACACTCTAGGCCTAGATGTTGGTTTGCAGCAGAAAGAATGCCTTTTTGTGTGTCCGTTTGTCTGTCTGCTTGTTTAACACAACAGCAGAACTTATTGGCCTTGAAACTGAAGTCCAAGGGGTGTGGCTAGTTTTAGCTTCATCCGGGAAATCGAACAATGTCTCCAAGACCTGATTTTCTCTGTAGCCTTTTTGCTTCAGCTTTTCTCCAGTGACAGCAGTGTCTCAGGTTAGTTCCACCCTAGGGGGTCAGATCCACTGAGAAGGTGCAGGCTGCCCAACCTTCACCAGGATGGAGGACGAGTTTGGCTGTCCCTGGCCTGACATTTTCCCAACCCTTCACTCCATGACTGTAGGCAGGCGAATGGCATCTCCTAATCTGACCCTGGAGAACGCAGGGAACTGATGTGGGATGCTCCTGTGTGTGCTGTGACTATGTTTTTATTACCCACGGTCAATAAAGAAGCTGATTTGGCCGGCAGCCAGACGGAATAGAGCCAGGGGAAAATCCAAGCAAAGATACCAGAAAAAAGAAGGTGGAGTCAGAGAGACACCAGCAGCCACTGGGGAAGCAGGATGTGAGGTAACAAGTCACAAGCCTTGTGACAAAATCTAGAATACTAAAAATGAGTTAATTTAAGTTATAAGACCTAGTCAGTAATAAGCTTGAGCTAATAGGCCAAACAGTTTGTAATTAATATTAAGCCTCAGAGTAGTTTTTTGGGACCTGGCAGGTGGAGAGAGACCAGTTACAGGACAGAGGTACTCAGCAAGAGTTAAGGCGTTTACCTCAGGTGTGTAAGCAGGGCAGGCTGACAGGAAATACTGGCCCCTTCCTCCACTTCCCTTAGAGAAGAAAGTGCTAAGAAAAGCTGAGGGGCTTCTCTGGACCCCAACTGCACAATGGGACTCAGGTAAGAAAGAAGAGTTTGCTGGCTTTCTGTGGAGAACACATAGCCGTTTCACTGTGGCAAGGGCAGGTCACCCGGGCCAGAGCAAGGATTCTAGATGTGGAACATCTCAGGCATGGGGAAGAGGCAAAGGTCCCTACCTCGGCAGCCATGTTCACAGAGGACATGAATAACGCATAGAAGCAAGAACATACTGGCCGTAAGGCGTGTCAGGTGACCAAGGGGCTTCCGGGGGGGGGGGGGGGAGCCGGGCAGACTAAGGGTTGAGCTAGCTGAGAAATGTCAGACAGCAGTACCCGGGTACAGTCAAGGGCATATTAATGGACTTCATTGAGAGAACCTCAGCCTGGGGCTCATTCCAGACACCCCAGACCACTCCCTACTCCCTACGTGGGCACTCTGACTCCTTCTCCAAGCCTTCTCTATAAAATGGGAGGGACACTTCCCACCTGCTCGGGAATGAAGCTGAACCAGAGTGCATGAAAGTAGGAGCAAGACTCCAGGGCTACCCCTAGGTCGAGTTTGCCAATTTTCCTTATCCTGACAGAAGGCCACACAACTCTGTGGCTCAGAGACACTCACAGCATAGACGAAGCACAGAGGAACGAACCTGCTTGGTGAGGGGAGGCCCTAGGGGCCTAGCTCTTGCTGTGAGCAGCTCTCTAGAATATCCCCACACTTTCCACTGAGTCAGAGAAAGGAGCCAACCTGACATTGGCGGCTGCGCAGGTCCTACCAGTCATTGACAGGGAGGAGTTAAAAGGAGACAGAAAAGCTCACACAAACCACAACACAGCCTCCTCCCACAGGCAGGCCCAGATCTCAGGGCCCTCCTCCTCCCTCTGCTCTGAGGGAGCACTCACTCATCTTCCATCATGTGCCTAGCTGGCCTCTCCGTGTAACCCACCCTGTAAGGCACAGCGCGCAAGGACGGCATGCTTACCATAGTGCAGCTGAGTCTCCAAGACCTTAGCTTCCTCTAGCTTCCACGGGTGGCTCAGATTCGTGATTTTTCAACCCTCTGTCCTTCTGTCCCCTTCCCAGGGAGGGCTTTGTGTGATGTTGGACTCCGAGTCTTGGGAAATTGGCCACTTGGAGTCTTTTCTCTGCCTCTCATTCTACATAGACACACTGCTTTGCATATTTGTGCAGGCCAGGCAGCTGCCCCTACTTCCAGGCTTTTTTGTTCCCCTGATAGAGATCTAAAGAACAGTCCTCAGGGAGTAGCCACTGTGGTAGGAGAAACACGTGTTTGGAACAACCTAGATGTAGGTTGTAGCTCTGCTTGTTGGCTCCGTGATGTTGGACAGGTTACCTTCTCCTCTCTAAATCCCAGGGCCAAACATCCTACATGGTTGTTACGAAGACAGAGTGAAGAGGCCCAGAGCCCAGTGAAGGGTTTAGACAGACTTCTCGTCTGTTAACCTTGCCCTGTCTTCCTCTGTGGAGGTGAGTGTATGTGTAGGCAATCACGTGTTGGGAGCCACCATCGCCTGACGGTGAGGCCCCATCTTGAACTTCAAAGCCTGCGAGGCTGGCACCATTTCTCCCCATGACTGAAGAGCCACTGTGGCTGGGGGTGGGAGGAGGGCAGAGTTAAGAAGCCACTGGGCAGTGCAGAAAGCACAGGCCGGATGGACACTCAGCTGTCACATCCTGACTATCCTTGCACCTCCCTCCCTGGCTTGGATTCCAGTTATCATGGGTCTCCTCCTTCACATCTCCAGGACACTTTCTGAACCAGGGATGACACTTTTCACTCCCAAATATGAGAAAAATCTGTCCCAAGCAGGTTTAAAGGAAAATAGGAACAAACAAAAAAGTAAATGGAGATTTTTGGTTCAAGTGACCTCTAAAGTGATCTTATATTATATAAGACTGAATTTCGAGCTCAAATAATGTCATTACATCATTCTTCCTAGATCTCAGGTCCACAAGAAGATGCGTTCAGGCTGGGGCTGTCGTATCCACAAACAGCAGCAGGACACATGGCTTCAGCTCTCAGGGCTCCACGGGAGCTCACACTTAGACGTGGGATAGAGTCACATCGTCTCTGACTGTGCTGACATGAACAGGTGCCCATAGCTGACCCAGCCACGTGCCCAGGAAGAGGAGACCTGTGAATTGATGGTCACAGTGTGTGGTCCTCATGACAACTTCGGCAGCCTTATTGGATGGGGAAGAGATAGAAGCTTGACATGGCAGCTCTGCCTCGCCTGGGGAGGTTTTCTGCAGTGTTAGGTGCGGCAATCCTCTCTGGATGCTGAGACAAGCTCACACCATTGTCTTGGACACCCAGCCTCCAGAACCATGAGGCAAGTCAACTTCTTGTTGTAAACTGCCCACGCTCCAGGGTTTTTTTCTTTTCCTTTTTTTTTTTTCTCAAAAGAGAAAGAAAATAATTTTAATTTAATTGGTTGTTGTTGTTCTGTTTTTAGACAGGGTCTCTCTATGTGGTTCTGCCTGTCCTGGAGATTTGCTGTAGACTGGTCTGGCCTCAGACTCACAGAGATTCTCCTGCCTCTGCTTCCTAGGTGCTGGGACTAAAGGCGTGCACCAGTACATGCCCCTTCACCCCCATTTTCTTTTCTTTTCTTTTTTCTTTAGAGTCACAGAAAATAGACGAACACAGGAGTTTTCTAGTCCCGGTGTTCTGAAGGGAAAGCTGACCTGTGTGAGCACCGGGGACCTATGACTGGCTCCTAGGCTGGCAGCCAGGGAAGGCGCCATGCGGATAAGGAAAGTGGAGAGTCGACACTATCCTCTGAAGAGCCTAGATCAGGGTATGTTCCCTGAAACATAAACCAGCTTTGATGAATGAGGAAACTTGGAAGTGATTTCCACCTTGAACTTTTTTAACACTGGCAAAGTGGAAAACTGGGATCCTTGACTCGATGGTGTGGCTATGGAACTGACTGGTGCAGGCGACTCTTCTTCCGTGGAAGCGCTCGGCACGCCTTTGCCACACACCTGGGAGAGCACCATGGTAGGTGTTGCAGCTGGGCTTCCTTCCCAGGAACTCTCCATGACAGCCCATTTCCTCTATCCTCATGGAAATACCATTTCTCAGAAGGAAGCCTGAATTACTTATTGACCCACGTTTTCTCTATTACAATAACTCTCCCATCTCTCCACTCAGAGGTGGCACCCAAGTTTCAAGTCTAGGTGTCCCCAATTTGCCTCTGGTTTGGGGTGTTTCAAGAGAGTCATGCATTCACGTAGCTGAATGTTTGGGGATTGTTCATTATGTGCCAGGTTTCAGAGACACACAGGAGAACAAAACTTTTGGGGACTTGGACCAGAAAAGTGGTGACATTAATGCCTAGCTTTTACAGAGGACTGTGACCTGGGAAGGAAGGATGCGGGAAGGGGCCTGGCTGGACACTGGGGAACAATAAAGAAATTTCACTGTGATCCAGACAGGAGATGACATGGCCATAATAGTGTGCTGGGTGTACAATCAGAGAGAGGGGAATGAAACGGATGTGGGGAAGTGACTTTGTGGCAGGTAGAGGTGGTAGGAGAAAGGTCCTTCATGACCCTCATCTCTGTGAACCTCAGCTTCCTTGTCTATAGAACAGTAAATCACAGGACTATAAATTCTGGAGCTCAGGTACATATAATTACTAGTATCTTAGGACCAGGCACTGCTCCTGAGCTAGGACGCGAAGGAACAGCAGGTGGATTTAAGATGTAAGATGCTCCGTTGCACTTGGGGTTCTTGAGTCTGGGACACTGACGAGCATCTACCTGGAGCTGCTTACTAGGCACTTGAAGAAGGAACAGCAGGTGGATTTAAGATGTAAGATGCTCCATTGCACTTGGGGTTCTTGAGTCTGGGACACTGACGAGCATCTACCTGGAGCTGCTTACTAGGCACTTGAATTTTGGAACTAAGGCGGGGGGGGGGCAGGGATCTGTTCTAGGGTTTTCCACTTCATCTCATCCCAATTTCTTGCTGGTTCATTTTTTTTTAAGGAGTAAGGCTATATATGTTACAGCCTTCAGGCATGTCTCACAAAGATGGAGTGGGTCTCCTTCATTCTGTCTTTCTGTGTTGCCACGTTGCAGCCTCTCCAAGGAGGGTCAAGAGATGCTCTTACCAGGTCTTTCTTTAACCAACACTGTGCAGAGTGGGCACTCTCCTGGATCCCCTTCTCTGGTTTTCATGGTTCACTGAGATAGCTACAGTTAAAGATGGACAGCTACAGTTAGAGACGGAGAAACCAGGGAGAGGCTTCAGGAAGTTAAGTGAGTTGCCCAGGGCCTTAGACTTGCAAGCCCATGCTCTTAAAATTTACCCTCTTTTAATAAAAATGTCCAATATCTAGGCAGGAGAAAGGATAGGTGAGGCTGGTAGGCAGAGAGACTAAATAGGAGGAGAAATCTAGGTTTGAGAGAGAAGGAAGAATGAGAGAGAAGAGAGGAGAGAACAAGGGAGATGCCTGAAGCAAGAAGCCAGGGAGATGACAGCCAGACACAGAGAAACAATGAAGTTAGATATACAGAAGAAAGGTAATAAGCCCCGAGGTAAAGGGTAAATAAAGAGAAACAGTTCATTTAAATTACAAGAGTTAGCCAGAAACAGCTGAGCATTCAAAACTAATGAGTTTGTGTCATGATTTGGGAGCTGGTTGGTGGCCCCAAAGAGAAAGCCTGGTCCACCGCAGCCCAGAATGTATTTCTTCTCTGAATGTAGATGCCGCATTTGCTTTGTTACATCAGTATTCTTTATAAAGTCCTGGCAAAGGATTTTTAAGCTTTTATTCTTTCAAAAAATGAAATTGTTCCTCAGAAAAAAAGAAAAAGAAAAAAATCTTATTCTCTAAGAGAGCACCATCCAGGAGAACTTTCTGGAAGGAAGATGTGTCTTATCTGCATTCCCTAGTACAGCTGCCACTGGTCACATATATAGCCTAGGAACTGAGATTTTCATTTTATTCGCTTTATATTTAAATGCAGTCGCCACACTCAGTCAAAGACAACCTAGACTTCCAGGAGGCCTAGAAAGACCTAGGAGTTACATCATCTCATTCAAAGCAGTTTGCAGTGGGTTCAGGGATCTCCTTGAGTGAAGAAACAGTTTTCTCAATAGGTTTCTAAGTGCCACCAAAAAAAAAATGTTCCAGTTCTCAAGGGTTAACTAGATATTTCCTGCTGCTCACAGTGTTCAAAGACACCAGATGGGAAAGTTGGATGGTATTGGAGGTGTGACGGCCCCTGGTGGCTTCCGAGATGGGAAAAGGAAGTGCCCTTTTGCAGCATCCTGGAATATCAGCTTCCAGGCTGGCATCTCAAGCAGTAGGACTGTTGCCTGGGAGACAAGGAACATGAAAGAACACCAGAACAGGGTGGGGGCTACACGGGGAACCATCCTTGGAGGCCAGTGCTACGAACCACAGGCTGCACTGGACACGGGGCAAAAGGTGAGGGACTGCTGGGGTGGCCCCAGGTTCCAAAGAGGGCAGGGGAGATCTGCACTCGTGGGAAGACTGAAGGAGGGGAAGAAGGAGCAGAGGCTGCTGGAGTGGGGGTGGGGCAGACCGTAACCACACAGCGTGCAGAGTGGGGGAGGTACACAGGCTTGGGCAAAGCTGCACCTGTGAATTCTCCCCAGTTCAATACAACCCCTCATTGTCAACCACCAGTTTTTGTAATACAACTGTCACAAACAGTAAGCGAGCAGTTACTGTGTAACCTCAGCAGTCACCTTTCGCGTCTCCACTGCCCTCTCCTTCTCTACTGTCCTCTCCGAGGCTGTGGCAATGACTTAGTTACTCTTCTTGCCCAGCAGGACAATTTTCTAATTACCTCTAGCAAGGCTTTCCATGTATGCTTCCTCCTGAACTTCATTTCCGGGCCTGTTGAATGTCAAATTAATTTTTAATCACCTTCGAGGTGTTGAGTTTAATTACCCAGATTGAAAGGGACAAGGAGAACAGGATGTACAGGGGAACTTTCGGGGTTCTTCTCGGGAATGGGGAGCGATGTATTCCTGGAATGTTGTGTGGGTGGGGATGCCTGACTCTCCCGCTAGAGTGCTGGTGTATGTGAGAGTCGTGGCAGGCCAGCTACGCAATGGGCAGTGTGAGAGGAGGAAGAGCAGGGACCCTAGGAAAGCCTGAGCTATAGAGGAAGAGTCTCGCTTGAGGATGAACGACAGACGTTGGCAAGAATTTAAGACCCAAGTCATGGAATAAAGGCAGAGCCACTCATTCACAGTCCAGTGCTCCTTTTGTACGACCCTCCCCACTCAAAAACCAGTCCCTTTTTAAAATCCAGGTTGGCCTCAAATTCCTGTGTGGCTGAGTACTGCACGCTGTGCCATCACACCGGTGTACGTGATGCTGTGGGTGGAACTCAGGTCCTTGTACACACTAGAGCAACACGCTTAGCGACCGAGCTCTGCCTCATACCCCGAAAACAGATTTTCAAAATATTTAAATTTTTTTAAATGTGTATGAGTGTTTTGCCCAGGTGTACACATGTGCACCATGAGTGTTCAGTGCCCCGTGGAGGACATCAGAACCCCTGGAACCGGAGTTACAGACGCTTGTAAGCCACCAGATGGGTGCTGGGAATAAAACTCAGGTCCTCCAGAAGAGCAGCCACAGCTCTTGACCAAGAAACCATCTCTCTAGCTCCAGGAAAGAGATTTTTAACATTATTTTAAATTTTTGAAGAAAGTTAAGATAATATTCACACGTGGAAGCTGCCAGACGTTCGAGTGTGTGCAAGCATGCAAACACTTTCACTGGAGCACAGCAGCACACGCTTACACATGGCTGTTGCCAACCCACAGAGGCAGAGGGGAGCAGTGGCGACATGTATGTCACGCTCAGTGTATTGAGGGGAAACACAATATATTTATATTTTAGCCATTTCCAGGAAAAAAAAAAAACAGTTTTCTGACCTTTGACCTAAGCCAGTTATGAGATACTTCTCTCTTTTTTTCCCAGGCTTTCTTGCAGCTAGGAATGGCCTCATGTCCCAAAAGCACTAAGCAGAGCTCTCTGGGGGGTACTGCTATAGAGCCCTGCTGTTTCAAAGGAAAGGGTGAGATATGGCTGGGAGCTCTCCCACCTACTTCCTGTCTGAACTGAGAGTTTGCCCTGGGGAGCCCACCCAGCCCTCTTTGAGAACCCAAACCTACTGAGAGACAGGAAACACAGGGTGGGGAGCTCAGGTAGAAGGACTGGGTTCCCATTGGCTGTGGTCCAAGAGATGAGGAATGTCTACCCTGGGCACCGCCCAGAGGCTAGGCTACATGTTGCCTGGATCCTAGGAGCCACTTGTTCTTTGGGTTGGATTGAGAACAGGTCAGCCCCTGCTGCGAACTAGTCCCATGGCCTCTGATTGCCGGATTCACATCAGCACAAGGAAGGGTGTGAGGGAAACTGAGGTTTCTCCCCTGTTGGATTCTGGGGTCCTGGAGGCGGCATTTCTCGTGTTCCCTTATCTTCTCAACTCCTTCTACAGATCCCAAAAGAGTAGTCTCAACAACGCTGGGTGGCTAGGAGAGTATGTGAAGGATGAATGATGGACGGATAGATGAATGAATGAATGAATGAATGAATGAATGAAAACAGTTACTAAGAGGCAGTTACAGAGCTGAAAGCCTAGAAAGTCTGACCTAGGAATTACATTATTTAACAAAGGAACTGGGGATAATTATCCCATTATCCCCATGGGGATAATTGGTTTTCCTATGCTCGTAAGAATTAGGAGAAAAAAGGTTGGGATCCCAGCTCCAAGGCTGGTCCAAACCCTGGCACAGACCTCTCCTGCCTCAGCTCCTTGGCCATTCCCTGAGGCAATGCTAGGCCCAGTCTGCAGAGGTGGGTGAAGAATCCGCCGTGACCTAGGGGAAAACACTAAAGGAAACTTCCTGAGTTTGGGCGCCGGCCAGTCACTTTTCTTCTTCGTGCCCTCCACTTCTGCCCTGAGAACTGCCAAGAACACGTCACCTCCTTAGCAGGTGCTCAGAACATATTTGGAGAATGAATGAGTTGCCTTGTATCAGTGCAAATTCCTCAGCAAAAAGTCACAGGCTGTGAGATTTCAGGAAAGCAGGTAACACTGATGTCGTATCTCCTAGCTCTGCAATAGATTGGAATGTGCATCCCGGTTCTGAATCAGCATTCTGCCACGCTATACAAGCCCAGGATGTTCATCACTTGCCGTCACAGAACAACGGTATGTGCGCTGAGAGAGCCGCTCGCTATGCCAAGCATGGCGACGTAAGCCGTGTCATTTAAACTTCATCGCAACAGGACGGGGTAAGTATTTATGGCTGGCCTGCTTTTACAGCTAAGGAATTTGAGGTCCAAAGAGGGTAAAGTAACTTTGCAAAGGCCACAGCAGCCGGTGCCAGAGTTGGGTGGAAACCTAGATCTGGTCCTGCGTGGGAAAAGAGGGCAGGTGGAGCATTGGCGTTGCAGCTCAGTTGGCAGAATGCTTGCCTAGCATGCACAGGGTCCCAGACTTGTCCCCAGAACTGCATTACTGGGCACAATGTCCCATGCTGTGTTCCAGCACCCAGTGAGCAGAGGGAGGAAGGCCAGAAGGTTAAGGTCATTCTCAGCTATACAGTGAGTTTGGGGCCAGCCTGGGAGACCCAGATTGGGGGCGGGGTATTAGTGAGGAGCAGTGAAGATTCTAGGGGGTGAACCCCAGAACTGCCGTGGGTGACAACTGCTGCCCTGAACTCCGCATGCAGAACACTGTAGTCGGAGAACTGATGGGAAGAGAGGAGCGTGGTGCCGAAGTAGGAGCAGTTGAGGCTCAGTGTGCCCACAGGACGTCATCTCAGAGGGGCTCTTCCTGGGCCAGGCTCAGTGGCAGTGTGACTGCTCGGCTGATGTGTGTGCTAAAGGGTGGGGTCCATGCATTAGGAGTGGCTGGGCTGGGCTGGCCTTTGTGATGCTTCCCACGGAGAAGCTGGTGATTCATGACCCTCCCCAGGCTGCCCAGCTACTCTCAGGGCACAACTTGTAAACAAGTCAGAAACTGTCATCTGGGCAAGAGAAAAAGACAGGGAGAAGAAGGAGTTTCTAAGGCCACCCTCAGTCTTCTGCCAACTCCAAATTTTACCTTCTGAACTACATACTGGACCCATACTGTTCATAACTCAGAGCCTCCCTCACCTATGGCTGGAAACCTTTCTTCATCCAATTTCTGACCTTTTTTTCCTGGAAAGTTCTAGAAACTCTACTCTCCTGGGCTGGCTCTGAGGTACAATTACTTCAGTGTAAGGTAGGGGTTCTGCTGCCTGGAGTACTCTCGGGGTACTTCTGGGAGGTGTGCAGCGATCAATCAATCCGCCGGTGCCATTAGTCAATATTTACCGGAAGTCTGGTCAGGCCAATGCAGGCTTGCAGTCTTAGTAAACAGGCCTGGCTTCCTCAGACTAGAGAAAACAAGGGGCATAGCCTGGTCCTCGAGGCACCTGGAAACCTCAATCACCATAACAGCACAATTAGAGGAAGAATTAAGTGTCAAACTGTGAGAGTCTCCCTTGGTCCACCAGGACTTTCAAAATGACAGGCGAACCAAGCAAGTTTGCCAAAAAGGCAAACAAGACTGGAAGACTTGGACAGGAGACATGAATGGTCTCAGAGCTCTGGAGGTCGGAGGCTGAGGGCAAGGCGGCACCAGGGCTGGCTCCCTCTGAGGCTCTGAGGGAGACGGTTTTGCGCTGCTGTCTTGCTTCTGCTGGTCGACCAACATTTGTTTGTGTGTGCTTGTTTCTGCTGCTGAAACATATCCATGAGGTACTTGCTCTGCCACAGTCTTCCCTCTGTCTTTGTTCTCAGAGTGTGTGCCCCTGTGTTTTTCTTCTTTACAGAGATGCCAGGCATAGTGTATTAGGGTCCTGTTCTCCTCATCTCACCCAACCACATCTGCAAAGACTCCATTTCCATGCAAGACTGAATTCTGAGGTGCCGCGGGCTAGGAGTTCAGCCCATGAATTAACTTAACCCATCGCAAGTGAGGTCCTGCCTCCAGAAGTCAGGAGCACATTTGGATCATACACATACGCCTGCCCCAAGGAGTTCTCCTGAAAATTACAAACTGTCGGCCCAGCCCTTTGAGGAGGTACCGGTTCCCACATTATCTTCCTTGCAGCTCAGGTGTGACTGGCCCCACCCTGGGTGAGAGGGTAACCGTGAACAACAAACAGCCTCTGGGAGGTCATGAAGGAGTGAACCAAGAGAGACAGAGGTTAAAAACAGCCCCAGCAGCAGTGGGAGGTAGAGCTTAGACGGCCTTTGGCCTTTGTGACTTTGATTTTCAAACAGCACCCAGGAGGTCACGAGGTCTTGATGACACAGCTTTCCACTTGGCACCCTGGAAATTTCTGACCCTGGGGATGTGTGCCCATACACGGTGATTTACTTCTTTCTTCTCTCCGGGCAGACCTTCAGAAGCTTCCAGAAAGAAGCCTGGAGAGGGTCCTGTGAGGACCTGGGATGTGCCTGTACTGTCTTTCAAAGCAGCTGGGTGACTCAGGAAAGTCACACAAGGCAGCTCCCATTTTCTCATCCGCACAACAGGAATGAGAAGGAACAGTTGTCCTGCCTGCCGTCTAATGGAGTGAGGGCCATTCTAAGAGGAGCGACTGGCCTTGGGGTGCAGGAAGGCTTTGGGGACACCGGCTCCCATCAGTTGCCGTGTTTGCCCTTACTGCACAAGCATCACAGACACCTGGAAGAGGTAAAGAGGTATCAGCTGTTGTCAGACCTTTGCTTGGTTCCCTGGGTGTGGTTTCCAAGTGGGCAGTGCCAGCATGGAGAGGTGGAAAACTTCTGATTCTTGGGGGCTGGTGAGATGGCCCAGTGGGTAAAGGCACTTACTGTCAAATTCCATGCCCCGAGTTCCATCCCTTCAGAACCCACAAGGTAGAGAAGGAGAGAAATGACTGTGGATAAACTTGCCCCCTGACCTCCATTCACATATGTGCAGCCACGCCCCCACCTCCAAGAAATAAATGAACAAATGTTTTTTTTTTAAGCTGACTCCAAGAATTATTAAACTGAATATGTATTATAACAAGAACCCCAAGAGATCTGTGCACTCGTTTAGCTTTGAAGAGCACAGCTTCCGGGGCCTTGTTCTGGTTGTGGGGTCCCATTCCAGGCCTCTGATGAGCAGGAGGGTTTTACTCTCTCTAGGAGGACGGTGCCCCTCCTCCAGCTCTAGCTCCAGGCACAGCACAGGGACTGAGTCGGATGGCGGCGGGACTCACTTCCAGAGCTTCAGACCAAAGATGCTGGCTTCATGCATATCCTTCTTCAGCTTAGGGTGGAAGCCTGGAGCCGGGAGCCATGTTGGTCACCACTGCAGCGGGTCCAGGAAGAGTCCTGGCAAGAGAGGAAGAGATGAGCTACAGACACAGAGAATCCCTCCTGCCCACATCTCCTGAGCTCCCAGTTTTGTCCTCCCCTTCACAGATGGGCCTGTGCTTCCCAACTCCTGTAAGATGGGAAGAATGGACTGAATGAAGTGGGTAGGGGTAAGGGGTGTCTGACAAGTCCCACGATGGCTAAAAATCAAACCCACACACTGGAGCCCTAAGGTGGAGCAGCTGGGGAGGGACAGTCTTTCAGACAGGGGGTCCTGCCTGCGCCCCCTGCAGAGCAGGTACGAGTAAGTGTTTTCTGAAATCCAGGCTCTGCCTGTCTTGGTTTTTCTGTGCAGCCTTCAGGCTTTGTGCTGAGAGCTCTGGACCCATTAGGGCCAAAGCACCATCCTCTTCCGGCAGGGAGCTTGAGGAGAGAAGAGGCGGTGACCAGTGGCTGAGCACAGTGTCCAGGGCGTCAAGATGCCTGTTCAGGGGACCTCAGCAAACTGCTGCCCGGAGGCCTGCACTGCTGATAAGATGGGTGTTCCTGGGACTCAGGGGCCAAAATGAGTTCCCCAGAGAGGAGCCGACCTCTGGGTTTTATGAAGATGCATCCAGATGAACTGGCCACCCTATTCTCTGAGGCTTCTGTAGCCTATGCCAGTACAAGCAGGGTTGGTGGGTGGGCGGTGGGTGATACCAGGGGGGGTCAGAGCATCTCATTCTGGGAGGATCTGGGCCTGAGTGTGAACACCTAGGCTGCTTCCATGTGAAGCTGCTGAGTAGGAACTGGGAGTGCGGAGAGAGCTGGAGGCTGTCTGTGTGGGGGAGAGAGAGCAAGTCAGGAGCAACCCTCACATCTGTGAACCCATTCTTCTGCCGTCTGTGGGACTGATCTGTGTCCGTTATGGGCTTTGCGAGTGGGAAGTGTTATCTCCAAGAGTCTGGGGGGTTGTTTCAGTTTGTTGTTGTTCCTGAAACAGGGTCTCCTTCAGCCCAGGCTTTGTTGAACTTGCTAGTAGCTGAGGATGACCTTGAACTTCTGACGTCACTTCAGGAGCGTGGAGATTACAGGTACACACACCACCAGGCCTAGTTTACTTAGTGGTCGGGCTCAATCTAGGACTTCCTGCACGCTAGGCAGTGCTCTACCCCCTGAGCTGCACCCCCAGCCTCACCCAGGAGTCTGTTTTGGCACAGTGTGGTAATCTGATGGTGGTGTTTATGTGAGCTGTGGAAGGATTGTGCTGGTGGTGAGACCCATGGGTCTGCCGAGACGGCAGAGGTGGGAAGAGGAAGCGCTCCCAGGAACTTGATGGCAGGTTGTCAAATGTGTGCCCAATAAGCAGATGGGCAAATTGAGTCCTTCCACAGTTGGGCCATTGCCTCACTTATTATCCACCCTAAGGGCAGGATTTCCTGTCTCAGAACTCAGATTGTCTTTCGGTTAATTCCCAGTTCATCATGGGTAATAGCCCCCCGTAGGGGACTCTGTTTGCCCCTGTGAGCTCCTTCCACCGAGTCCGTTGTCTTCTCAGAGCTGAAGAAGCTGCAGCTTCGGGGAAGCAGCGCAAAGCCCCTGGGTTGCACCTGCCACTTTTTTCTTTTTTGAGAGATAAAATCACTGGTCACATTTCTGCCCTCCACTCCCAGACAGCAGCTTTCAGCACAGATGTGTCCCTACAGGGAGGCCATCACCTCAGAAAGTCTGAGGATTCCTCAGCGCTCTTGTTCTAATCTGAGGAATGTTAGAATAATGATGCCAAGTGTTTCAGAGCCTTGGAGTCTGGGAGGAAGTGAGGCAGGGGGGAGGGTGCAGGGAGGAAGGGGAGAGGGAGTGAGGAAGTCTGGGAGGAAG